TGAGGGGTCAAAGCAGCTTCTTTTTGTGAGTCTGAGGGCGGCTGGGTCTGGCAGCGGGGCTGACCGAGGACATGGGGTTGATGGAGGGGCTGAGGGGGCTCAGAGGGACCTGGGGGGATCAGGGCTGATGATGGAAGAGCTGAGTGGAAAGGGCTGAGGATGGAGGAGCTCAGGGATGATGGAGGAGCTGGGCTGGGGGCTGATGGAGAAGCTGGAGGGCTCAGGGTTAATGGAGGAGCTGGGCTGGGGGCTGATGGAAGAACTGGGGGGGCTCAGGAGGAGCTGAGGGGCTCCAGGCTGATGATGGAGGAGCTGGAGGGCCCAGGGCTGATGGAGGGGCTGGGGGGATCAGGGCTGGTGGAGGAGCTGAGCTCAGCAGGAGGGAGAGCCCAGAAAGAGCCCCGGGGTCGGGCGTTCCCCGGCTGGGGGTCCCCTGCAGCATCGCGGCCACCCCTGACCAGCCAGGGCTGGGCTCTCCTGGGCTCTGCTGCTTTATTTCTCACAAACTTTGTGGCGTTTTTGGTTTCATTGCACTGCAGGGAGGAAGATTTGGGCCACTGCGAAGTTTTGTATGATGCATCATTAATTTCCACCCCATTTTAACCCAGTAGAGAACACGCAGAAGGGAAATAAATTAGTGCAGCTTGTGACAGTCCTGCTGGAAAATGTGCCTGTGCCTTTACCCCATCCTGTGCCTTTTGGGGAGTAACTTCAGGAGTGGAATGCGCTCCCTTGGGTAGAGCAGCCGTGCCCTGGGAGCTCCCCATGGCTGGGTGCTGCTGGTGCTGGGCTGAGAAGTGCGTGGGCTCCTCTGGCACGAGGAAACTTGGCAGCGTCCAAGGCATCAACTTTTGGAAAATTTTCTGCTGCCTGGAAGCCCTCCTGCCTTCCCTCCCTCCCTCCCACTCTGTGTCCACCTGCTCCAGGACCACATGTCCCGAGCTGGAACCACTCCAGCCCTGAACAAGGGCTCTGCTGAAACGGCCTCAGCCCCTTCGCCCCCGAACACCCCACCAGCCCCCTGGACCCCAAATGTCTCTGCAGCTGCTTTGAGCTCAGATCTGTTGTTTTCCGAGGGAAAAGCCTCTCCAGTGAGCACTGCACTGGGGGGAAGAAGCTCCTGTCCCTGCCTCCTGTCCCGCAGCCCTTCAGCCAAAGAATGAAAATCAGGAGATGGGTCTGAAATGTTTGAAATTCTGACTCTCCATAATTTAATGCTCCATTAGCAGCCAGGACTGCTCCAGGCATGTGACTGTTATAAAAGATGCAGGCAGGTGGCCGGGCAGCCTCCTGCCACCTACCCCGGGTCCCTTATGAGAGAGGGACAAGACAATTTGGCTCATCATTAAAGTCACCTGAAGACCCCTGAGAGCTCCCACCAGCCCTGGCCAAAACCTGCTGGCCCCAGTTATTGTTGTTTTACTCCTGCCTGGTGAAGGGGCCTCGTGGCTGTTCGTCCCTGGGCAGAAAGAGAAAAAGGTATAAATTAAATATAGCGAAGAGAATCGAAAGAGCACGAGGCAGCAGCGAGCCCAGCGGGGCATTTGACCCTCCTTGCCTGTACAAAATGGGGTTATCAGGAGCTGGAGACTCACAGGGGAAGAAGGAGAAGGTGCAGAAGTTGGTGGGTAGAGATTCATGGTGGTGTTTCCACTGCGGTGCCGGGGCTGCGGCCGCCCCAACGCTGCCACCCAAAACTGCAGCTCTTTGGGCATAGAAGTCAACCTGTGCTGTTCTGCGGGGCTGGAAGGGCTGAGCACGGGCAGGTGATGTGATGGTAGGAGAGCAGGGACGGAGCAGGGGCATTTCCCAGCAGAGATGAGACGTTTCCTGGCACGAGTGGCACAACAGTCCCCTCGGCGCTGTCACCACGTCACCGGTGTCTGGCTGGCTGTGGGTCTGCAGTGAGCAGCCTTCATCCCCTGCAGTCCTCCTCCCTTGTTCTGGCTGGGTGTTCTGGGTCCAGTTTGCAGCCTCGGTCAGAGCCTGGAGAAACCACTTGGTTACAAAGCTGAGTGGGGTGGGTTGGAGGAGCCCTGGGCTCCCACCTCTGCTCTGCTCCCCACGCCGGCTGGAGAGGCCAGCAGGGAGCCAGTCCCCAGTGCTGGCCACCCCCTGTCCCTCCTGCCACCACCCCAGGCTGCTTTGTCCCCACCGTGTCCCTGTGGGATGCAGGGAGGAGAAGCTCAGGGTGGGGAGAGGATGGGCCGAGGTCTGTAGAGGGACTGGCACAGGTCACCCCTGGTGTGCCCACAGTGGGGACGTGGGGCAGCAGGAATTGGGGACCACCCAGGGAGGTGAGGGGTGTGAGGAGTGTAGGAGGTGGGCAGGAAGATCATTTTCCCCCCAGCAGCCCCTCTGGGTCACCTGCTGAGAGCTGAGCTGACGTGGGAAGGGTTTAGAAAACCCTCTGCCCCGGCCCAGGGTGGCAGCCCTGCCTGCTGCCTGCTGCCTGCCCACGAGGGCAGGGCGTAGGGGAATGCCAGAGCCAGGGGAATGCCAGAGCCCAGGCTTATCTTTTGTCTGGAACAATGGAGGGCTTGGCCCTATTGTTCTCATTTCACGCCCAGCGGAAAGCGGGTCCCCTGGGGCAGAGGCTTGCACGGGAGCGTGCCTGGCTGCAGGAGGGGATTTATGGGCAGGGACAGGCAGGGACAGGCAGGGCTGGCAAGGATGGGCGAGTACAGCAGGCTCTCCCTAGCCAAGCTGTGCTGAGTGGCCCTGTGTGGGGGCTGCTGCCCGTGGGAAGCTCTGCCAGTGAATTCCCCACAGGGAGACCCTTTCCTGCTCCTTTTTCTTGTGACACGTGGATTTCAGGAATGGGTTATTTTGGGGCAGATCCCCAGCGCTGCACAGTGCAGGCTGGAGGACCCATCTGTACCTGTGCAGCCTGGGCAGAGCAGAGCAGAATTTACTTTCCTTGGAGGCTCTTGGGCTCAGATTTGGGTTCCCAAGTGCAGCACCAGCCTCTGGGCTCCTGTGCCTGGTCCTTCCCACTGCATTTCCTCAGGTCCTCGGGTCCATCCTGGGGTCTGGGTTGGGGAACACACATTTTCTGTGTGAGGTTTGTGTGTGTGTGTGTTTTCAAGCTGGTCCTGGGGGCTGGGCACCAGGGGAACAGGCACCAGGGGTGCTGAGAGTGCCTGGAACCAGCTGTGCCCGGGGCACGTCGGGATGCAAAGCACAGCCCCACAGCCCCTCACGGCCTCCTCCTCCCTTCATTTAGGGGGGCAAAGCGGGGCTGACCCCCCTCCCCACGGGCTCCCAGTGCCATCTGCACGGCTCCAGCAGCCACATGTGACCTCGCCAGGGTGGCACAAAATGCCTCCGGTGCCTTTTGTTGTCCCTGTGGTGCCCGAGGGCCGCAGCAGTGAGGGGCAACACAGTGGGAGCTGCCTGTTCCTGCCTGTTCCTGCCGGGAGCACGGCAGGACGTGGGGTCTGGAGCTGCCAAAGCCCCTCGCTGGAGGCTCAGGGACCCCGGGGGAAACCGGGATAGAGCAAGGGGGGGATGGCACAGGTGCCACCAGGCACAAAGAGCCCCTTGTGTGCTGTGGGACACAGGGAGCCCCGGGCTGGCTGGGGGCTGTTGGACACCCCCTCCCAAACGGGGAGGGCTGGCAGCTTCCTGCTGGTGCTCCTTGTCTGTGCTGGGGTTTTGTTGTGCGACAGGAACTACCCCTATGGGTCAGTAAAGCCTTGTACCCAAATCTCTCTGCTCCCCCAGGGGAAAGGAGCTGGGTGGGAGCTGCATTTCTTGGGATTTAGTTCCTCCAAATCCACAGGGGAGAGGAGGGATGAGGTGCAAACCCGGCCCGGCGGGGTGGTCTCGGTTTGGAGGTCGCTGCTGTTGGATCCCTTGGGTGCTGCAGCAGGATGGGTGATGGTCCCCTACCCGAGCCCAAGGTATCTCCTGGTAGTGATAAAAATGATAAAAACAGCTCGTGCAGCTTCTCTTGTGAACGTGAGACGAGGCGATGCCGCTCTCAGCTGCTGCTGCCACCGGATGCTCTGGTTCAGCCGAGGGGGGATGAGCTGAATCCGCACCCCAAATCACCCTAAAACACCACCAAAACAACCGTGGCTGAGGGGGGGAAGTCAAACCAGAAGCGTTTTTCTCGGGGGTCTCCACCAGCCCCATCCAGCCCTGACTCCAAAGAGCCGAAGCCCAGCGGGGCAGAGCCAGGGCTGCCTTGGTGAGGGGGATGGTTTGGGGCAGGGGGGTTTTGGGGCAGGTGATGAACAGCCACTGGCCCCCAGCACCCGTCCCTCAGGCTGCTTTCTCCTTCAGGTCCTCGTGGGGCAGCTCTTGACACACCAGCAGAAAAATCTGCTGCTGGAATGTGAAGCAGCACCAGCAGCTGGAGCTCCCCGTGCCCTGAATTCGGGCAGCAGCAGCTGAGGGGGCGAGTGGCTCCACGGAGCCTCTGTCCCTCCATGTCCCTCCATGTCCCAGCACGTGGCAGCTCAGGCACAAGGATCTGGTTATTGCAGCTCAGAATCCCAAACAAAGGCACCCCGAAGGTTTCCAGGGCGCTGGTGTCTGTGGGATGTGGAACAGAAGCACAGCCCCATGATTTTTGGGTACCACTTGTGAGGGGCACCAGGGCTGGCTCTGAGCATCCTTTGGTGCTCACGTGTGCTCCCGGCTCTCCTGGGAAACACAAGATGGGATTGCCCCCCACAAATGGGAGCCTGGAAGAATAAGGACTTTAGTGGAAGGTGTCAAATGGCACGAGAAGCTCTGGGGTGGGGGGTTGTGGACTAACCTGAGGCTGAAATCGCAGCAGGTCCTGCGTGTGCCCAACACCACCTATGGATGCCCTTGGGGTGGCGAATGGAAAAAGGGTTTGGAAAGCTCTTCCCTCCCAGCAGCCCCGGCCGGGAGGTGCAGGGCAGGTCGTGGCGAGGTGGGTGAGCCCCGTGTTGGTCTTTTTTTCTGAGCAGGAGAGGAAAAGGGTCAGATGTCTTCGCCCTCCGTCATGCGATAGGAAAGTATTGTTTGCGGAGCAGCGAGTCAGCCGTGCCCCCCGCTCTGCCTGGAAACGCTGAGTGAGTGAAATTACACAAAAAACGACACCGAGATCGGCCTCCCTGATAAGCCCGAGGGCCGCTCTGGGGTGAGGGGAGGGCAGGAACCGTGAAGGAAAGGAGGGAGACGTGCTCACCACCACCCCTCACCACCACCACCCCTCACCGCGCCAGGGTCACTGCGCCAGGGTGAGTGAGCTGTCCCCATCCTTCTCCTCCTGGCTCTGCTGGCCTCCTGCATCCCAGGAAGATCTTCCTTTTATTTCTCTGGGTTTGCTGATTTTTAAAATTTCTCGCCCAGAATTGATTGATTGGTGCAAAGTGGGGAGTGGGGAGATGGAAGGGGGCGGCTCGCTGGGGGGGTTGGAGGGGGTTTGGGAGCCATCCCAAGGATCTCTGCTGGATTCCAGGGATCTGGCAGCTCCCCTGACTGCCCACCACCCCTCTGTGGGCACTGGTGGAACTGTGGGGCTGACCCCACTGTGGGGCTGATCCAGCCCCCCGGGTGCTGGGTGCAATCAGGGCCCACCAGCCAGCCAGGTTTTGCTGCAGATCTTTGCACCCAAAACTTCTTTTAAAAATTGTTTCTGATGCGGAAAAAAAAAAAAGGAAAGAAAGAGTAAACACCCATTTTCCAGGGTGCCAGGCTGCCCCTGCATCTTCCCTTCTTAATCTGCTCTGATGTTTCTGGGTTTCCTTGGCTTGTAACGCAGGGAAGGTGGGAAGGGCAGAGGAAAAGGGATGCACGAAGAAGGAGGGCTCTGGAAATGTGGAGATTGAGGGGGGTTGTGCTTTTCCCTGGAGGTTCAGACCTGCAAGGAACGGGATTTTCTGGGAGGGGGATTTTCTGAGAGGGGGGATTTTCTGAGAGGGGGGATTTTCTGGGAAGGGGAGTTTGTGCTTTCAACACTTCTGCCCCCTCATCCCTGCCCACGCTGCCGCTCAAATCCCAGCAGAACACTCCTTCTGCTGGACACCCCCTTCTCCTAAAGATCCTTTCAGCCACATGACCCTCCCTGGGCACAAACCCATCCTCCCACAGAGCCGAGGGGCGGCACAGGGAGTGTTTTCCCCATGGATACGCCTCGTGGAGTGGAAGGACAAACCCAAACCGCCCTGCAGACTGTCTGCTCCCGAGGCCAGGAAACGGGAATGACCGGCGCAGTCCCGGCCGGCACGGGGGCTGTCCTGGGATTGTTCCTGTGCCGCCTTCCCCGGGGCTTTGCACGCTCCTAAATAATCCCAGCGCCGCGGAGTTTCCTCCGCTTCCCCCATGAGATCATTCCCTGGCCAATAAATCCCGCGGCCGGGAAGTTCCACCTGAGGTTCAGTCGGATTTTTTTTTCCCCCCTCCCTATTTAAAGCCTCCCTATCACTCATCCCAGCAAAAGGAAAAACGTGTTTGGGTCGTGGCTGTGAAGGCAGTGGCCCCGGGCCAGGGGAAAGGATCCAGATGCCTCTTTGTGTTTGATTTTATTTGGATAGTTATAAACCCACTGGCTGGGGTTTGTCCGTGTCCTAACGCAGCCAGGATGTTGGGAGGCAGCATCCCTGGATTTTGGGTTGTGGAGGAAAGCCCTTGTGTTCAGGGGAATGTGTGCAGGGAGAGGCTGGGGAATCCTGGGGTCTCCTGGGGTCCACAGGTGATGGAGGACATGGAGCATCCATGGTGCAGGACATGGAGCATCCCATTAAACAACCCAGATCCTCCTCCTCCCCCTGCCACAGCCTGAGAATTGCTCCCTTCCTCCCTGCCTTGCACCTAAGTGAATTTAGTGATTGATAGGGGGTTATTTTCCCCTCTCCCCTCAAGTTTTGAATAGCAGGATTGATTGGATTCCCCCCCAAACCTCTGGAGTTTCCTCTGCTGGCTGCATCAGGGAGAAAGGCATCTCATTAGCAGTGCTGGGTATGGCCTGGAGGCCTTTGGAGGAGGCAGGTTGGGCTTTTGGGGATAGAATTAGTAAACGCTGGTTGTCGTTGCTTTAGGGTTAAATCTTGCAAGCGCTGTGTGGCAATAGGAGACCTGTGTGGCTGCTTTTCATCTTGGCAGATGGAAAATTGATGCTCCCCCGCACCCCAAAAATCCATAACGTGTCAGTGCTGAGGCACCTCTTCCGGGGGTGAAGGGGGAGAGATCCCCCTGTGGGGGCACCAGATTTGGGGTCTCACGGCCCTGGGGAAGGGACTGGTCAGATGTTGGGATGCTCAGGGTGGCACATGCAGAGGGGTGACCCCCCTGCTCCTTCCTGTGCCGGCCGTTCCGGGAGTTTCCATGATGCCAGTGCCCTCCCCGTGGTGTCACCGCTGTGCCCTGACCCCGTGGAGACGTTTCCGGAGGCCGTTATCCTTTGGGGGGAGAGGAATTCCTTCAGGGAGCTGCTGGTGGATGGAGGTTGGACAAAGCCCCGTCTGTTTTGTGTGGACAGAGGGAAATCCCAGCCCCTGCTCACGCCAGAGCTTTTCCCACAGGACCCCGGGTCTCGCCAGGGTGGAGAGGGGCAGTTGGGGTCTCTCTGGGGTGGTGATTATCCATTGGATACTGCTGGGCAGGACACACCAGGCACTTCCCACTGCCCCTCTGCCCCTTGGGGCATCACCCTCCCCAAAATCCCCCCCTGCCCACTGAAGGTCTCCCTTCTCAGCGCAGGTTTTGCAGCTTTTCCGGCCCCCTGAGCTCTCGGCAGCCTCTGGGCAGAGGGAGGTTGTGGCTTTCCGTGGGAGCGCCGTGGGCAGGTGAGATGCTGTGAACATGTGGGGACGGGGAGAGCGCCGGCCCCCAAAATTCAGAGCGTTTCCGCCGCCCCTGGTTTGTGGGGCAGCAGCAGGGTGGGGACACAACCCTGCCAGGGAACACGTGTCCGTCCAGGACACGAGGAGATGTGGCTCTCACGTGGTGGTGGCACTGCTGGAGCTGAAAATGCTCAGCCCCCTGATGCCTTTTGGGTTTAAAACCTGCGCTTTCAGAAGCAACCCCGGCGTCTGACACTGTGTGGTCCAAGTCCCCCGTGGATGGATGGCGGGATGCTCTGCATCCCTGGGGAGGGATGGCAGCCCCGTGAACTTCCCCCTGGCAGGGACAGTGGCCTCGGCCATCCCTGGCCATCCCTGCCCGGGATGGGGGAGGAAACCATCCATTCTTTTATGTGCAAAGGGATGCCGGGCGGAAACGCTTGGAAAGGGCCCCGAAAGGACATTCCAAGTCTGGCAGGAAAGCGGCCCGTTCGTCTGGCAGGAGATGGGCCATTGTCTGTGCCGGTGGCCGGCCGGGATTCCTCGGGTCCTGCCTGGAAGAAGAAAACGTCCCGTGTGTGTCTTATTTTTTCCTCTGCCCCCTCTCCCGGGGGTCGGGGGCCGCGGGTGCTGCACGTGGCTGATGTGTGAGCGCTGCCAGTGTTGATGTCTTGGCTCCTCTGGCGTTTCCTCCTCGGGCTTTTGGCCTGTGTTTGCCCCTGCCTGGGTTGGTTACCTGGGCCAGGGGCTGCTGGGATGGGTGGGGTTTGGGGTTTTTTTTGGGATGATGTTGGGAACCACACTGGGCTCCTGAAGGGAAGAGTCGCCGTAACCCACAAACTGAGAACTTCGTGCTGTAACTGGGAGGGAGGAAAGCAAAAACCCCAAGAGCCTGGTCAACCTGATGGGCAGGTGAGGGCAAAAACCCCCGAAATCTGGGCAGCCCAGCTCCCCCAGCCAGTTATCCCAGTCCTGCCCTGCCTGGGCAGGGTGGGGGTTTGCTGGCACCTCGTTCCCCCCTGGCCTTTGGAGCTGTTCTGCTCCACACAAACGGGGCCGATAGGATCAGGGCTGGCTGGCAGGCAGGAAGGGTGGCTCGGCCACCCGGAGAATTGCAGGACGTGCTGTTCAGGGGTACGAATGGGGAGAGAAAGGCTGTTGCCCTCCCGAAAATCTTGGATTTGCTGGGCTGGAATTTGGAGGCAAGGTGGGCAGTGCAGCCCTCCAAGGCACTGTGTGGGGAGGGAGCAGCCCAGTGGGTCCATCCCTGGGGACTCTTGGCTCCTGAGTGGGGCTGTTCGGTCCTCCAGGCTGGTCCTTCACATCCCAATTCCATTCCTTCCCTTCCCCTCCACCCCACATTAAATGGGGAACATTAAAGGTGAGGATATTCTGTTTTTAGTCCCGGTGCCAAGGTGATTATTCCCTCCCTTTTGTGTGCCCCAGGCAGCCCCGGAGCCCACACCTGAGCCCTGGGCACAGGCACCAGCCTGGAACGAGATAACGGGGCATTTTCT